TTTCGCATTTGCAACATATAAACCAAAATCAGAAAGGAAAGTTAAAAAGTTTGTTCATTCGTTATATAATAATGTTCAAAAATATGATAACTCAGTATGTGGTAAATATATTGACCCTTCAGAAGTTTTCAAGAAAGCAAATGAAGAAGTTGATGTCACTTTTGATATGATTATTCCGGTAAATGATTTGTTAGCATTTCAGGCGTTCGATGATTATCCTAAATCATTTGGTGAAATCATTCTTAAATATTATGTTTTCAGGGATACTTTAGTATTTTGTCAGGTTGACCCGTTAAGAGTTGCTGATTTACAAAATTACGTTTATGAAAAGATAACTGATGAAAATTATGAAAAGATTATGAATCATGTTTATAAATATGATCGCAAATTCCAACAAATCGGACTTCCTGCCAAATTAATTACAAGCTTAGCCGCTACATCTGCTGACGCAACAGTTGATGACGTTATTATTTCATGCACAAAGATGGAAGTTTTAGAGGATAAATGCATTACACCAGGATACGGTTTAATTGAAGAATCAGTTAAAGCAATACCACGTTTATTCAGTAAGGAAGATCCATTCATGATTCCAGCTCAACATATTGACGTTCGTTCACTAAATGGAGGTTGCATCACTCCTGAAGGTATTAGCTCAGATTTCTCATACGCTCTTCATAATGTTACAGATGTTGTGTTAACATTTCCGAAGAATGCAATGCAAAGAACAGTTTTAGAAAATCCAATGCTTCGAGGTCTTCAGGTCACTATAGATTCCAGAAACTTCCCCGATCAAGCGATGACCACAGTGGGTGACATATTCTTTACACGTATGCTTCAAGCTTCTGATTTAGATGGAGTGAATGAATGCACGGAAGAATACGAGGACTCATTAACTAGACCACTGAATGATGATAATGGCACGCCATTAGCTAGAACATGGAAAGACCAAACTTCATTCTTATGCACTATTCCAGTTCAACGTGATGGAGCGGGTATATTCTTTGATGGATTAGAAACTTTCAACTCACAAGTTACAGTACAAGTGAAAGCTTATCCAATCATTCAGGGTGAAAATGACACTTACTGTTCAAAGGTGACAAATCCTCCTCAGGTTTGGTTTACTAGGACTACATATTGGACATGGACACCGGATGAAGGTTTGAAATATCATCCAACAGGTACACCACCACAGTATAGAAGTTCATATGATGAAATATTGATGAATAGAAATGTTTAAAATTATAAATTTATTTTTGATTAAATGGATTTAAATTCATCCACCCCTTATGAAGAATTAGCAGGAGTATATAATACATACGTAGATGATATGATTAATGAAGCATTGAGTGATAATAGAAATGCTCTATCTAAGGAAAAATTAATGAAAATTCCATATTCTGAATGTTACTTAAATTCAATCACTGCAGCAATTGGTAAACAAAATAAAGGTAAAACATTAACGATATTAAAACAAATTATCATTATTGCTAACAACTTCACCCATTCACATGTGTTAATTTATATCAAACCGTTCAGGTTCATCTTCAGATGATACATTTGAATCTTTAAAGCATTTAAATCAAAATTCCAATTATTTATTTATCACAAGAAGAAGCAGAAGATTATTTAAAAAACTTTTTAATGTATAAAGAATTATATAATACAATCAAGAAGCAAGGATTAGAGGATAAAATTATTGATAAACAACGGGATGAATTATTTGAAACACTTTCTATTTCAAATTTTGATAGAGAATTTTTGCATTCATCATTTTTCTAGATGATGCAGTGAAATCAAAACTAATAACAAATGAGAAATCATATTTTAATCAGTTATTAACTCAATGTCGACACATTCAGTGTTCATTCTTTATGGCTGTTCAATATTTCAAAGCATTAAGCACAAACATTAAATCAAACCTGACCACCCTTTTCATTTTCAGTGGGTTTAGTCGTCAACAGTTGAACGTTATGCTTTATCAAGTGAATTTACCAATGAGCATTAATGAACTTTACACACAATATCAACAATTAGGAGAACATGGAAAAATAATAGTTGATTTAAATAAAGGTTCCATTAAATTCGAATAACTTTTTATAATTAATTTTTATTTTTTATTTATAATTAAACATGAGTGAAATAGCAAATCTTCTACAGGTTCCATTAAAACAAGGACAAACAAAAGGGTGCATATAATAGAACTATGAAAGTTCCAGACGGAATGAAAGAATTAGTTCATATTGTTGCTGGTCTTCAAAAAGATGTTAAACAAATGAGAAACGTTTTAACATTACCAGAAGCTCAAGCATATGCCAAACGTCATGGTCCAAATTGGGAAGCACACGAAGCAGACATTACGGGTCCAAATGGAAAACCTGATGGTATAAATGAAGTTTTCGTTACTGATGGTCAAGGTAATATTAAAGTCATAAATGGGTATAAATTAACTATATCTGATTATCCTAAACGTAAAGCATATAATGAACATTATCCTATGCAATTTGATGAAAATGGAAAAGCTGTTAAACAATACATTGGAGAAGGTGAAAATGGTCCAATTAATTCATACCGTCATAATCCATATTCTTATTTCAATGAAGAATTAAATGCTATTGAAGAGGGACCGGATGGATTACCACGATATTCTAACCAGTTTGATGGTCAATATGCAAATATTAGACCTGAAATTTCAGCTAAGAAACTCTTTAAAGTTGCTTTATTCGATCCAGTTTTCGCAAATGTTAAAGATGAACTTAAACATCAATTCCAACCAATTATAGTAGCAAGAATTGCATCAGGTGCTTTATCTCAAGCATTCAAAGATTTAATTAAGAAACCATTATATCAGCAACGAGGTTTAACTTATGATTTAGTTAAGGAATCAGATAAAAGAAAATTTGAGAAATCAGTTGATTATAAGAATGCAATTAATGAATATATTAGGTCTATTAATTTCGATGAAAATGCTAAAAATCAACTTCATGAACAAATACAGGGAATAATAGATTCAAAAGTTCCAGCAAAATAAAAGTTTAAATATATTTTTTTATTCAATTATAAATGAGAAGACGTTTCACTAGTCAAAAGAACACTAACGCAAAAGCAGAGATTACGGTTGGTTATAACGTAAATGATGATAAATCACGAATTATTCAAAATGTTAAAGTTAATGTTAGTCCTGAATTAACAAGGTCAGCAACTCAACCAAATTTATTAACTCGTGACTTACCAAAGAAAGAAGAGGAGCAAAATAAAGAAGATGGAGACCCAATCATTTTATCTGAACCCGGTAAAGAACCTGTTGAAATTCCCACTTATCCAACATACCCCCCACCACTTGATAACCCAGGAATCTACGATTACAGTCGCAATACGCCATATAAAATAGACATTAATTCAGAATTAATGAAAATATATCGCGATATCATAACTGATAATTATGATTCAATAATAAATTTAATTGACCAATCTGGTTTAATTATTTTACCTTATGAATCATTAATTCACATTATCGCTATTCTTTGTGATGTTCAAGATTCAGACGTTAAGATTCAATTTTTCATAGATGATGAGGTTTCATGCTGCGGAACAGTTGCAAAAATAAATCCTATAAAGGATATTAGCACAATTAAGATATCAAAGAATGGAACAACAACTGAACTACATTTAACATATAATGATATTTATAATAAAATAGTTGATGAATATAAAATATCACTTGAAAAATTCTTTGTTAAGGCTATTTAATATTCAAGCATTAACATTATTGAATAATAATCCTTTGAATCATAATCGATAATAATTGACCTTTCACCAGTTTCTATCGTTTGTTTTATTTCTTTTTGTTCCCCACTATCCGGATCGGTCATTGTAATTGTTTTGTTATAGTATCAGCTTTATCTTTAACTTCAATCTTTTTTCCATCGGGATATTTAAACCAAAATTCCAAAATTCGATATTGTCAATCTGTTCATATTTTAATCTATCAATTACATTTTTAATACCATCTGAAAATCTTATGAAATGGTCATTATATGGGTTTGATTGAACTAAATTGAATGAAGTGAAATATAACCTGTTGATGAATATGACATCGACTCATATTTTCTGAAAACACTAAAATTTATAACATGAATGAATTTCTTATTCGTTGAATTTATGAATTCTTGAGGTAATCTTATTCTAGTTTTATTTATCACTGGAAAATAACGCTTTACCATATTTTTAATCGTAATAAAAATGTCAATTATCAATATTATTTCGAATAATAACTGTGAATTAAATTTAACAGTTAGTGGAATTTATAATGTTACTCTCGTTTCTGTGAGTGGTAAATTTAATCCCATTCTTTTAGACCCTTCAGATTATATATCATTTATTAAAGATGACCTTGAGCCGCATAGTGGCGGGGTCGTAGACCTAAAAACATATGATATGTATATAAATAATGTGATAACGAAATGGGATATTAACATGATTTTAAGTTATTTAAATGAATCATTTATCATATGGTATGAAGAAATTTTAAATCAAAAACCCGATAAACTTTTTGAACTTGATGAAATAAATAACCTTATTAAATTTCCGCTGAAAATTAAATTTTGTACTCCTCATCTTCGTTCATTGTTGGGGATATTAAATTTTTGAAAAAGATGTTGGGGATGTTTTGTATTCTGACACTGGTTCCAATTTCATTTAATCAAATGTGATAAAGTTAATACCCCAATGAGATTTTCACATCAAACATTAGACCCTAACTCTTACCCATCAATACAAAACATTTTATCCATCAACTTAAACATATTTTCTTTATCATATCCGTTTCAATTATCTGGGAATTCATTTATTCTTCATTCAAAAGATTATCAAATATTAAATTTAGAGTAACCGACCTATTTGATTGTGATTTAGAATTCATGAATGAAATATTATGGCAATTTCAAATAGAAAAAATAGCTGATGAGATAACGGATTAAATATTTATTTTTAAATCATAATAAATGATTAAACAACAGCAACCACAGCAACTTAAGGCACAGACCATTACATACGCCATATATGCATATAATTCAAAGACGGCAGAACAAACGCAAATGTTGAAATATGGAGATTTGGAGATAGTATTGAAAAATGACCATTTCGAATTCGTTTGCAAAGGTGGTGCAGTGATATCAAATATAAAAGAAATTTTATTTATGAATTCAAAAATTAAAGGAATAACGGATGATATAACATCAATTCCACCAGAAGAACAAAGATATTACGCATTAAATGCATTTCCTAAAGTTTTGAAGATTGGAAGATTTAATTTAAATGAGGAATTCATAAAAGGTTTCCTAAATGACATAATGAAGAAGGCAGATAAGGAATATGTGGTTAGTGAGTTAGAGAAGAAAGCAGATAAGGAATATGTGGTTAGTGAGTTAATGAAGAAGGCAGATAAGGAATATGTTAATGAAAAAGATAATGAAATTATAGAAAGGGTTGAATGGTATCATGAATGGACATCAAAGATTTTAAAAACTAAAGCCGATACAGGATGGGTTTCAGGATGTTTAGACCTTAAAGCAGATAAAACTTATGTTAACAATGAGTTAATGAAGAAGGCAGATAAGGAATATGTGGATGAAATATACCAAAGTTTGATAGGAACAACTAAAAATATTGAAACTATTGTTGGTGACTTTTCTGTCAATGAAGAAAATAAATATTTTAGATGGCAGTTTGTACAGTCCTTAAGAAATGGTATGCGGTGTAAACTCATTCCGAAAAATAACAATGAAATGTATGTAAGCTATATAAAGAATGATGGTACACAAGTTAAAGTTCCATTAGACAACAACTGTTACTTAAACTTATATGGAGACGAACAAAAGAAATATTTAAGAGTTTATGAAATGACAGATATGACATTGTCTAACCTAGCTCCAGCACCATATTATTATGACTATGGAGATGATGTCAGAACACCACATGTAGATGAACAAAAGCTAACATTATATTTAGATTATTATAGATATAAAAGATATAATGCAATAGAAAAAACAAGAATAGTATATTATTATATAGATGACAAAAATAAATATTATAGTCAAGATTTTACCTACCCTGAAAACATAAGATTATATTATAAAAAATATTCCGACACAAACCAGAAGAAACCTGAAATAGTTGCACTATATTTTAAGTTCAAAATAGACAATCCTATATTATCTCATATGTTTGATTTAATGAACCCAGTAGGTTCTATTTATACATCTATGGATGCAAGAGGTCCTCAAGTAATGTTTGGTGTTGGTGCATGGGAACAAATAGTTGACAGGTTTTTGTATTGTGCAAACTCTTCAAAGGAAATGGGTGGAAGTAAAACGATTACAGGTGAAAATTTACCTGCACATAGTCACTACATAGATTTAAGTACATCTCAAGCGGGTTGGCATAAGCATAGATATTGGGATTGGTCAGGAATGATAAAAGGTAAAGGATATGATGTTAAAGACAACGTTAAGTTTGCTATAGATTGTTACTGGAGTAACACTGAGGGAGGAGGAAACCATACACATCGCGTTTCAGGATATACACAAACAACGGGACAAAGTAAAGATTACATGCCGCCATTTATGACAGTTTACGCATGGTATAGGGTTCAATGAACGCTCAATGTTTGTGAAACGAACTTTAGGAGCTCCAAAAGAGTGAACGGCATAATTTAAATTTTTATTTTAGTATAAATGAAGATTCTACCATATGGTGTTATTGGAAGAGATAAAGATGGAAACCCAATATTTGATCCAAAGTTAAAATTCAAGTTACTGACAAGACAACAACTTGAAAAGTTGCTGAAACCAAAACAGGATGAGAAAATGAGAAAGAAAAAAATTTAAATTATGTAATTTTATTTTTATCATAAATAACAAAATTAATTAAGCCAACTATTTCTAAATTAATGATACCAATGAAATCATTTCGTGGAGTACTTATCCCAGGTTCTTCACAATTAGCCGGGGCAAGTGTTGTGACTCAAGGTGGAACATTAGTGAATCCATTCAAATTATTAACTAAAGATGAACTTAATAAAATGATGATAAAATAACTGATAACAAAATTTTATTTCACTGCTACCATGTTACCATGTGCTACCAGGTAATTTAACTTCTCTGAAAAATAGTGACAACATGACATTTTGACAACAGTTCAGGAGGAATGTATTTATGATTTATTTTTGAAGAACTGAAGGTGCTACCATGTTACCATGTGCTACCAGGTAATTTAACTTCTCTGAAAAATAGTGACAACATGACATTTTGACAACAGTTCAGGAGGAATGTATTTATGATTTATTTTTGAAGAACTGAAGGTGCTACCATGTTACCATGTGCTCCCAGGTAATTTAACTTCTCTGAAAAAATGAGACAACATGACATTTTGACAACAGTTCAGGAGGAATGTATTTATGATTTATTTTTTTATTTTGTATGTAAGAACAGAAATGTCAGTCGAAGCAAAAACATTCAGCAACAAATCTAATGGCGAAACATTCACAAAAGGCACTTATAATGGTATTGAAGTCTTACGTAGAGACAAGGATGGTTACATTAATGCAACAAAGATGGCAAGAGAAGCGGGAAGGTTAAACCATTTAAACAGATTTCTCAATAGTACTAAAATGCAGGAAATTCTTGAGTTTTGGTTGAAAGAATATGGTGGAGCCAAAAGTGGCTCGACCTCAAAACAAGCATTTTATGAGCTTACTAGGGGTGTTATAAATGAATTCAAAGGTATTTACATACATCCTGACCTCGTTCATTTTGTTGCTGAATGGTGCTCTGTAAAGTATGCATTTTATGTCAAAGATATTATGGACTCCATAGACAAGAAAGTTCATGAGAAGTTAGATGAAGAAGAACTCGAAGATACAGTAGAGAATGCTAAACCTTTGTTCGAACAAGAAGTTAGAAAAATGTGCGAAAAACAATTAGAACATGAACGTGAGATATATTATGGTTATAGAGATTCTCCATACGAACTAGACCAATGGGAACAAGAAGATTTAAAGAGAGAATTTAGAGAATATGAACTCGCTAAGATAGCATTAGAAACTGCAGAAAAGAAGTTAAAAGTTTGGGGTCGTTTTGTAAAAAAATATTGTGAGTAAATGAACCATTTATTTTTGTCATAAACGACCAAAAATAAATGTTTACGTTAATGTTTACGTTAAGTGACTCAAAGAGTCCGGAGACAAAGTCTCATGTTTTCAGGTTATTCAATAATTAATTATTTTTGAAGAACTGAAGGTGCTACCATGTTACCATGTGCTACCAGGTAATTTAACTTCTCTGAAAAATAGTGACAACATGACATTTTGACAACAGTTCAGGAGGAATGTATTTATGATTTATTTTTTTATTCCTATATAAATGACAGCAACAAACAACAACAACAACTATATCGTTTCTGATGAAAAAGTTATTGATTCATTAGTTGAGGAATTAGTTATGGCAGAAACTAAAACCCTCAACGAAAGAATTGGTGAAAACAAGATTGATTTACATAACTACCTCAAACATGATGGAGGAAGAGGAAGGAAAACTGGTATGGCTTTATTAGTAAATAAAATATCAAATTTAACGATTATAGATGTTGATATCAATAAATCATACGATGATGAACTTAAAGAAACAGTTAGAAAAGACATTTTATCAAAACTTTCGGATAAAGATGTTATCGTTAAAACTGCTTCAGGAGGTCTTCACATTTATTGCAACACTAATTTCTTCTATGCAGTTTCGAACAGAATGATTAAATGTTATTCCTGCAATGATTACGATATTGACATAATGACTTCAATGGATGATTCAAAGCGTTCATTAGTGGTTATGGCTGATTCAAGAGTTCGCAAGAATGCAACAGAACCAATCAATACATACTCATTCATTCGTGGAAGTTATGATTCAACATTAACCAGAACAGTGAATGATATATTAAATGATTTGAATATTAAGGTAAGAGTTGAACAAAAGAACGAAGAAATAAAGACTATCGTGAATGAAAACAAAGATGTAAACATTGACGATAAACTAGCTCAAAGCATAGTTGATGGCATGTGTGATTTTGAAGTACATAATGACGGTGGAAACATGAATTTAGAAAAAGAAGTTACATTATTCACACTGTTTCAAGCAATTAATTCGTTACCTAATCATTTAATTAATGAAGCATACGATAACGTTTATAACTTCTGCAGTTTAACAGAAAATGCAAAAAGTAATTTTGAAAAAGCACGTGAAAGATATGCACATTTAATGACTTCTCCATTTGTTTTGGTGAAGATTCTAAAACTATATCAAAAGGAATATTATGATGAATATGTTTTGCCTTTATTACGTAAGCCAAAAATAACATTTGATATAAAACTTGATGACTCGTTTTTGATAACAGATATTAGACGCAAGGCTGAAAATCATCAGTATAAAAACAGTTCTGAAGTAATTGAGGATTTATCACGTGTAATCCGTTTTGTAGATTGTGGAAACAAATACTTCATTCAAAAAGATTACAACATCCACGACAAAATGAATCAAATATCATTCGTTCTTCAATCAAACATGAAAGAGTCACTTAAAATGATTAAATTATTTAAAGAAGAAGGTAAAACAATAACAGCATGGGATGTACTATTAAATCAATTGTCTTCATTAACAGTTAAGGGTGTTTGCTTTAAATCTGATTCCCCCGATGTTTTCTCAACGTTTCAGGGTTATAAATACAACATTCTCGAAAAACCTGATTACTCAAAAATTGAGATGTTTATGAATTTCATTAAAGAAGTCATTTGTGATAATAACGATGAAGTGTATAAATACCTTCTCGGCTGGATTGCATCAATGATTCAACATCCTGGAATCAAGAATGAAACAGCAATTATTTTGAAAGGACTTCAGGGAACAGGTAAAAACAGATTTACAGACATTATTTCTGAACTTCTCGCTGGTTATTCATGTAAAAACATTACTGAAATAAGTGAGTTAACGGGTAATTTCAATTCAGTAGTTGAGAATAAAATGTTTCTTGTACTTAATGAACTCAAGAATGTAGGTGAAGACAGACTCGCAAACTTCAACGCTTTGAAATCAATTATAACGGATAATGAGATTAGAATTAATGAAAAGAATCAACCCAGAAGAACTGCTCAGAACGTTGCAAACTTCATTTTCGTAACTAATAACGTTTACCCTGTCAAAATTGAAGTTGGTGACAGAAGATATGTAGTTTTAAGAGTTAATGGTAAATTTAAGGGTCAATTTGATTACTTCAAGAATTTAATGAATTCATGCACAAAGGAATTTTATGATAATTTACTGACGTATTTTATGCAATATGACCTTTCATCATTTAATGTACGAATCATACCGATGACTGAAGCCAAACAAGATTTAATCGAATTATCATCAAATCCTTTAGATGTATGGATAAATACACATTATGATAAATTGTGTGTAGGTATGACGTGTGAAAATGCTTTATTCTGCAAACCATCAGACATGAAAGACAAGAATTTTCAAATGAGTATTAAGGATAAATGTGATAGGAAACATAGAAGAATAGATGGTAAACAAACATGGTGTTATGTTTTGAAAGAAGAAATGAAAGGATTGTATAAACAGGTTGAACCAAACGATAATGAGGATTCATTTACTGACGATGAAATACCTGTAAATGAAGCTTTATAAAGTATGATTGGAATTCATTATTGCCTTCCTCCTATGTTGTTGTCAAAATGTCATGTTGTCACTATTTTTCAGAGAAGTTAAATTACCTGGTAGCACATGGTAACATGGTAGCACCTTCAGTTCTTCAAAAATAAATCATTATTGCCTTCCTCCTATGTTGTTGTCAAAATGTCATGTCGTCAACATGGTAACATGGTAGCACCTTCAGTTCTTCAAAAATAAATCATAAATACATTCCTCCTGAACTGTTGTCAAAATGTCATGTTGTCTCATTTTTTCAGAGAAGTTAAATTACCTGGTAGCACATGGTAACATGGTAGCACCTTCAGTTCTTCAAAAATAAATCATTATTGCCTTCCTCCTATGTTGTTGACATAATGTCATGTTGTCTCATTTTTTCAGAGAAGTTGAATGACCTGGGAGCACATGGTAATATGGTGTTATGATTTGAATTTATTATTGAATAACCTAAAAACATTAACGATAAAATAAGTGATAACAAATTTTTATTTTTATCATAAATGAATACCCCACAAGCTCAAAATTTACCACGAATCATAACAAGGGAGGAAATGATAAAAATGATGCAAGAACATGTTAAAAATAACAAACCACTAAAATTGAGAAAATGTGGTTATGCAGTAATGATGGAAAGAGAGATGTTGTCAAAGAGGAATAAAAATTAAATTTGGATTGAGTTTAAAAATTCATCTTTATTAAATTCATCTCTTCCAATCAATTTATTTATTCTATTAAATTCTTTTATTTTTGCTTCACTCAGTTTAATGATTGAACGATAAGTTTCTAATTTTTCGATTATTTCTTTATCGTTTTCAACCCCACCACATTGCGACTTCTTTTTGTAATAGCATATTTTTGATTTAATTCTGTTTAGTTTCTTTTTATATTCATTGTCTGGACTCTTGACTGCTTTGTTGTCACTCATTTCTTACGAAATAAAAAAAAATTAAATATTATTTAAATATAATGGAGTAATAAAATAAATCGGAATTTCTATTAATTTATTGTTAACTTCAACTAATGCATTGCCGTTAATATATCTAACAAATTCAGCTATTGTGTCAAATCTTCGTCTTCTTTTTGTCATTGATTTATCAGTTTTTCCATAATCGAGATGAATCAAAACTTTATCCCCTTGTTTAAAATTCATGAGCCCCGAATTAATTTGTTCACGTTTAACATCATTTAACCTTTCCATTTGCTTTCTAATATATTCCCATTCTTTTGAAATATCATTTTTCATTTCCACCGGTTTCATGTTTATAGTTCTATGCCATGTATTATTGTAATAATATACTAACTGCTGTATGATGGAGTCATGATTTCCATCCCAGTATATCTGACCGTTAACCCCTAACGCATCTCTAAGAGTTCTCATTACCGCATCAACTATTTTATTATGAAACGTATATGGAGAGGATGAAAAGTAAAAATTAATTTGTGGGAAATAATGAGCCATAGCTGCCTGAAATCCTTTATCACCATCACCCCTTATATTATCTACTCTTTCATGATCTAGTAAGTATTGTATAGCTCTTCTTGTTTCCTGTTCTGTTTTCCCTTTCACCGGAATGCAATATAAATATCTAGTGTTAATGTTAATGGCAAATAAATAAGTAACGTTTCCTTTTGAATATTCCAGATGATCAATTTCGTATGAATATGGATATAGTGCAAATGAAGGGCGACTAAATTTTTCCTTTAATGGTTGAATTTTTGGGTCGATTGGTTTATTTAATATCTTGAAATCCTTTTTAAAATCTTTTTGCTTCTTAAATGTTTGAAATGGATATAATAAAGTGAATGATGAAGGATTAACTGAAGGAGGAGGTACTACTGTCGTTGGAGGTTTTGGTGTTGTAAGTGGTTTAATTTTATCTGCTTTGATTTTGGATTTCATTCCTCCTTTCATTAATTCTGGATGTATTCTATTCATTTGTTTTAAATATGTTGTATATAAAGGTTTGATATACTTTCCCGCTTCGAGTTTATGTTGAAGGATGAATTCCAAAAGTTGATCTTCATTTAAAAGTCGGGCTGAATATGGTTTAACTAATGAATCATAAATTAAAGCTTGTGCATCATTTATGGTCTGAAGGACCTGGGCGTTTTGTACCTTTGGTTTTTGTTCCTTTGGCTTTTGCGGCTCGGGATTATATAATTTATATAATTCATCAATATCTTCTTCTGTTAATACTTTATTTTTGAAATCTTTCAACTGTTTAAGTTGTGATTTAGTTTTTCCCTTTGTATATTCATTATTTTTAATTTTGTCTTTAATTTTAGAAATTATTTTATCATGATATTTCAAAATTTCATTTTTATAATACGAATAATAATAATCCATATCATCACCCGTTATATTTTTATTATGTTTTTGGAGATATGCTTTTAAATCATAATAATCAAGAAAATTTTGATTAAATACTAAATCATCAATTAAAATTTTTAAATCTGTGTTATCCATTTATATAAAAATAAAATAAATGTTTTAAGGGTGCCCACCTCTTTGAATCATAGTACAAAACCATTATTAACGGTTCCTTTTGTCTCTTCTGTGGCATTTCATTAAATAAATGGCATACAACATCCATTTTCACAACATACAGCCTTAGTGTGTGCTCCTGTTAATGCAGTCTTACCAATTGTTAAGCGAGTCATTGACCCGTTTTTAAGTTGTAAATTAATATTCTGACCATCAAATATCACTTTATCATTTATTATATCCAAATAATTTTTAGGTGTTAATTGTTTATTTTGTCGTAAACTAACACCTTTCATTTTTTGTGCAATCTTTTTAAAATCACCCCCATCAATTGAACCGTTGAATGAAGTATAACACTTAGGGCATAAAGCAACCATGTTATCACCTTGTTTCTCAATTGCTAAACCCAATAACTTCTTCTCATGTGCTTTTTCTTCAGCTTTATTCTTTAATTTAGGTTTAAATTTCTCATCAAAACAGAAGAAATCAAAAGGTGCGAATTTGTAAATGTTTTTATCATAAAATTGTTTATCGGTAACAATTGCTTGAAATGCTTGAGTGTTAGGAAGACTTGGATCGCCAGCGATTGCCCAATAAGATGAATCAGTATCACCTTCAATGAAATGAAAACGATTTTAAAACTAAATGAAACAGAGGAGGAAGAAATAAATGAAAGTGAAAATGTTCAACAAAAAATAAACGTTGTTAAACCAATTACTGAAACAAAAATTTTTTCATCTGTTGAAGAATTTAATGACTATTATGCTAATAATAAAAAATTATTTGAAGAATTGACAACATGTAAATTGAATAAAATGTTTAAAGTTGAGGACAGAGTCCAAGACCCAGAGGGTCATGGATTCAAAATTTCAAAAATAAAAGGAGTGGTTAGTTTGAAATCTATTCCTCAATCAAGAATCACCTCATTAATGAAAATAGATGATTTAACAAAAAGAATAGAAATTATTGAAGAAAGAATGAATCAAATAATTGATTTCATAAATTCAAATAATCATTAGTTTCTTAAAGTTCAATGTTGATTCTGAGACATAAATTTTTTTATTTTTTATTTCATTATGGTAGTGAATCTTTTACTCGTTTATGAGGTCTTTGATTATGACTCCATTGATTCCATTCAGGATTTAAACAATGTTTAATTAATCGCGGAATATCTGACATCATCTATATATAGCTTCTTTTATAAAAGATAAAAAAATAAATTATTTTAAAATTAATGTTAATTTTTTAATGATTTATAAATAAATGCATCGTCTATATATAGATGTAACAAAAAAATGATACAAAACCTTCCACATATACTTCGTACACAACACTTCCACATATACTTTTATGATTTATATTTTAATGCATCGTCTATATATAGATGTAACAAAAAAAGTCACTAAACCCGTACTCATATACTACTTGATTTATTCAAAAACGTAAGAATAAAAACCGTAAGAATCATACATTTTTTACTTCATATGTTAAAAAAAATGATACAAAATCGTTCAATATTGTATGAATTCTTACGTTTACAAAAAAAGTCACACAACCCATCAACATATACTACTTATCCCCTTTATTTCAATTCATATGAAAAAAGTTAGTTAATTTAGCTCCAATAATATACAGTAATTCCATATTTGATTTTTATACAATAGTTATGAAAATAATTGCCGTTTAGAAATAAAATGGTGAGTTTTGAAACAGCATGTAGTTTCGTTTTTAAGCGCATTTTTTATGAAATGCTACAAATTGGTGGCAACGAAAATTTATTTAGAAGTGCATCTTGCGACGAACAAGGAGAAACACTTGAAAATATGCAAAAATTGTTATTAAATTTCATAGGAAAAGTATTTTGCGGACCAAAATGGAAGCAATGGATTAGAACTGCTGATTGCTCCACAATTATTTCATTATTACACCATCTTGGATTTGATCCTGATAACGAAAATTTTGATGTTGAGAAATCTTCACGCGACTGTCTTATTGCCATCGGATTTTTGATTTGGAAAACAGATCTATTTGGCAAACTCTATGCTCCTCTTTTACCACCAAAAGATTCCTATACTCCTCCATATGGAACTATTACTGATGAGATTTCAATTCCTGAAGCTGAACAAAAAGAAATGCCAGATCAAATTGATGACCTTATTAAAAAATTAAATAGACAAATCAGTAGAATCACACGTAAATTACAAATTTTGTCCGATATTGAATATGATTGCGACTTTTACAGATCATTAGTAATGGAATTAGATAAAGAATCCACTGTTTATGAGCTGAGCTTAAAATCCAATCCAGAGCTTCTTGAAAAGCATCTTAATTCATTGAAGACAGCTAACCAATACTCAGAGGAAGTCGAAAAAATTGCAATAAATGAAGCTACATTTTATAAATTTCTTTCGAAAGTAATTTCAACTAAAGCAGCAGAACTGGCAAAAGAAAATCCTGATATCATGCAAATGGACTTCTTCCCAGATATGACTACATCTCCAGCTAGACGTGTCAATAGCCAAGCCAAATCTATCGAAGAAAAATTCAAAAATATTGATAATATTATGGGATTGCTTGATAAGAAGTACTCAAACACACTAATATCCTTACAAGAAAATGACAAGAAAGAGATTACTATTGATGTTGATGAACTCTCAAGGAAATTACAAAATTTAGAGAAAATGAAAAGAACAAAGAAACTAGAAAAGAGGTCAAACATCATCCCTGACTTCAATTTTACATCATTCTCCGAACAGAAGCTTCATGACATTGTTAGACAATACGATTCTGATTGCGCTAAACTAGAGTTCAATAGTATAGCTGATATTAATTCAAAGATTGAATCCACATGCCAAAAATTTGACTTGAAATATGTTGGATTGCATTTGCAAGATGAAAATCTATCGTTTTTATAATTATTCTCATGTTTATATTTGTTTGTTAATAAAATACTTATATATTATTCATGAAGAACCTTATTCCTTTCATTCACCACAAAGTTATAAAATAGATCTTTATTTTAAAAATAATTTCAAATAAAACTTGAATCTTGATAAAAACTGCTTCAAGGATTGATAGGCGTTCATTGGGAACCTCTGAAGATACCGTAGTTTTGATATCATTGTTGCGAGATAGTGAGCAAAAGAATGATTTTTATTTTTGACATTTTCGTTAGAAATAAAAAAATATAAATGGGAAAAGAACAACCCCACCTTAGATTTTATATAACTCGATGCACTTTGTTAGCAGTACACGCTCTTGTTTGGTCGTTTTTATGGCAATCAATTCCAGAATTTAGACAAACGTCTCAAAAAGATGATGATTACGTTGATAACCATTTAAGAGATGTTATTATTGTTGGTGGTGTATTTCTTGGACTTACTGCTGTTATGACATTCAGTGGTTTAACTCTTCATTCAATTAGCTTCCACTTTTTATTTATTTTCCTCCATGCTTTGGGTACATTCTTAACCATTATATCAATTCTTAATTATTGGGATGTGCTAATGCTTTGGATACCATGTAGTATTTGCTGCATTTTCCCATTTGTAGTTGAATTAATTTATGCAATACTTACATGCGCCGGACTTAATCAACACTTTTAAAAGTCTCTTAGAATTACCTCTGCAAAGTTATCTTATGCATAGTTCTTTATTTTGTTTAATGATTAATAAATATTACTATTATTATACATATAATCTTTCAACACATGAATGTTTTATTCAAACATTGATTTCACCAATATATGACAAACAGAAATTTCAAAATTTAAAATTCGATCTTCGTTTATTAAGTTTCAGATCTTATTTAAAGAGGAAAATAACTATCAACTCTATAATAAACGGGTGAAACTCTACTTTGCGCTGATCTATTTCATTTCCATGACAGAAATTGAAATTGATTTTCAAAATTTCTTATTATGGATGAGAAATAGAGAAGAATATATACCAGATTCATCAGTACAAACCAAAATTATAAATATAAATCATATTAATTTTGACATATCTACATAGGAAAGCTTAATTTTGATTTGATATGATAATGGAACAGCTGAACACATTAAATTTAATATATCTTCTCAATCTATGTTGTATGCTATCACATCCTTCATTAACAACAAGGAGGATCTATGTCTATCCAAGAATATTATGATGGCAGATTTTTGGATTTCAATTTTTTCAGAGGTAGGGCAACGATAGGTCAAAAAGGCTTCTCTGATAGATTTCCTTGCCTTTTGGATATGCTATAATATATAGCCTAGTATGATAGGATAGGATGTCAAAAGTTAGAACATAACTTAGGATCTTGAGAAAAATGAAAAACAAAAATTACATAAAAAAAGAAAAATTTTATCTAATTTGTTTTTTTGGACCGAATAAGTAATTTTATTGAATTTCAATACGACACATAGATTTTATTATTAGTAATAAATATAATGGTTTACTATTAACAAGGAACCTAAACTAATGAAAATTTGATTTCAAATATTGTATATGATTATCATAGATTACCAAAATATATTGCTATTTATGAGGATATAATATTGATTATTAGTAAATCGTCTAAATTTAATAAATATACCATGAATATTGAATGAATTTCTTGATTCATAGGGGTAAAACGCGCTTTTATATGATTTAGACAGAGAATTTATGAGATGTAAATAACACAATAAAGGTTTATATTGAATATTTTCTAAAAATAAATCGAAATTATAAAAAACAATACATTTATTCATTGAAACTACTTGGACAAATATGAAACAAGCATTCAGGCAATACTTTTGAGACTTCAACGCATCTGATAATTTTTATATAACTTCACCTCTTATGCTTAGAGTGGAGGTATTGAGATCGTATAAGTATAGATGAGCTCACATTCAGATATGATGTGTGAACTTCTGTTTTCACTGCAATTTTGAATCAGAATAAACTCAAAACAAGAATAAAATGATATACTCACTCTCTAAATGTGTTCGAGATTTAAAGTTGTATGAATAAAACGATTCATCTTTCGAAGCCTCCCATTTAATGAGAGACTTCGAAAGATGAATGTATTCATGTAGATGAAATACTATATATGACCATGTGTGATACTAAAGATATCAAAATGTTCATTTTTAAGTGCAATAGAAGGGTTATCTCTCGTAAAATCTCAATTTAAGGAAGATTTAGAAAGAACTCCTTTCCTAAGTAGATAGTGTGTGGTTTCTGTCTTTTGGTTGATCAGGAACTATGAAATTAAGTCGGACAGAAAGAAGTTCTTTCCAAAACAGACTCCAAATGAGTTGTTCGAAAAGAACTTCCTTCTGTATATGGATAATTGTAGTTACCGCACTGAAGTATGTGATTGTGATGATGGAGTTCTCGATAAATCTAAAATCGGATTAAGATTAATTGAAAACTCAAGTAATTCTTTGAAATCTTGTGTTGTCTGGCACTATAATAACCAAAGAATGAGAATATTATGTTGAATGATGAGTACGTGTGCTCGGCATTTGCCGAGCGAATTGAGTTTAACGTACTATGAAAAGTGACAAATTTGGGCTTTTTTTCCTAGGGTTATGATCTCTTCCTTTCTGCTCAATACGACAGAAATGAAAGAATGAATTTGTACTCCCTAATTGATTACTACAATTGTATCTATCTTTAACATAGAATTAGCTGCATTGTGATTTATACTCCAGAATTATTCAATTTAAGATCAACCTCGTAAATTTTAATCATATTGCACCAATACTCCTACGTTGAGATAAGAACATGATTATACATACCAAAGCCCCATATTAAAAATCAAAATTTAGCACCTCCATTATGCAACCACATTATTCGTCGCAAATAAGTATATTTACGCATATTATGATGCATATTCACACAACTCGTATACATGAAAAGTTATTAAAATCAGACAAAATTATTGCAATAAGGAAAAAAAAACAACTTTATTATATATGTTAGTAATGAATTACAAATATTTCTACAAAGAATGCTCAATACTTCATATAATCTTCGAATATTTCTTATTACAAGTTAATACATTTTGACTCGAACATGATAAACAAAAGCCGACACGCTGATTACTACATTTATGAAAATATAGTACGTTTCCATTCATCTGTTTACTTGTTTTTGTTGGAATAAAATCATTTTTTTTTTCTTTCATGAAATAAGAATTTTGCTGCGAAAGCAATATCTCTAACAATAATTAATACATTACGTCAACTCTGGAATGAGTATTTATCAAATATGATATCAAAATCAAAAATTAGTTGTTTTTTATGAGTAAAAACGATGTAAATTGATTATTTGACTAATTATCAAAAACTTTGATTTTCCAAATTTTTTTCGAAATTAATTTTTTCATGTGAAAATTCAAATTGTTTAATTTCATTTTTGAAATTTTGAATTTTTTTTGGAATTTTGAGTTGATCAATTCAGCAGAATTGATAATGCTATTGCTTTAGGGCATACCACAAGGTGATGAATAAAAGGTGAACATTAACAAATTATTTTAAATCACAAATATCATCCTCATCAACTTTAATTCTAAAAAGAACTGTACTGAATTATGAAAATGCATGATTTACATTATTAAAATCTTTGAATGAAAATAGTACAAGATAAGTTTTTATTCATTTTTAATTAGATTTAAACGAAAAACTACTCCATATTAAAATTTAAGTCGAGAAATCGTATTTTGTTCTTATTTGTTAGCATTTTGTAGACATTCTAATCTTGAATTAATTTGTTACATGATATTATTAACAAATTTAACTGAAAAAATATGTTAATATGGAATAAACCATGATTATATAAGCTATCAATGCTATATATACATATGTAAAAGATTCATATTAACTCAATTAACAAAAATGATAGATTTTCATAAAGGTTCAATCTAGGTTCGTCCGAAAATTTTGATTTTTATATAGAAGACATAGTTTCATATACATAATTAAATTTTCAAACAAATTTGATCATACCATTTATTAAGCAGGATAGTATATTAATTACTATCAGTATAAAAATATAAAAATGATTATATTTAATTATTGCATAATTTAGTCAAAGAGTTATAAGCCTCAAGTGATCGTTATCACCTTCAATGTACGTATACTTTATTGATTCATAGATATTTAATCTATGTTTGACATGTTGTTGTCGTCATTCGTTTTGTTCCCATTCTTCCTAAGTTAGAATTAGAGAATACACCATCCACATCATCTAATTTGGTCCTCAGCGATAGATTGGTTCATTTTGGAGGAGTCCCATCAGACAGTTTTCGAGCACCAAATATCAAATTTTAATGTATACAAATCTTTAGTGATTTATCTCTTTTATGATGAGTAAAAGGTTTCTGCTCATCAACATTTGATTTCCAACATATATGATTTCTAATTGCAATTATTTACTTTCTTTTTATAATCTAACTCTGTGACTCATACCATAAATTAATTATTGGAAAGTGTCAATATGTTTGGCACAACGCATGGCGGAAGATACCAAACCATGCAGGGAATATGATACGTTTAAGATCTCCGAACTTTTTTTCCAAAAATTTTCTATCGTTGCCCTACCTCTATTTTTTCTAACTCTTATAAAAAAATTATTATACCAGGACATGAACCGAATGTAATTTTTTTGAATACTTCGCTGAGCTAGCAAAAGACGTTTCCTTCTCAAAAAATTTGAATCGAAATATTGAATTATCAAAAAGTAATTCAAGATATGTAAAATTCTGGCATTATTCATTAATTCGGAATGCGTTTTCATATGTTAATAACAGAATTGACATTTCGATTTATATTTGATGATTTTTCGACGTTATTGAATTGTGAAATTTCCTTTTTTTAGACGTTGGGTTGATTTCAACTTTATAAAACCCACACATATCATTTTAAATATGATTTATAACATTCTTTTCCTCTAATTATCTGATAAAATCATTCATTTTTGATAATGGATTTCACTGATCTCATCTCATCTCATCTGAAGATATGTTTGCTGTCAGACGAGGTTTGAGGATGCTAAACTGTGAGATCATATCAGAGCCTGTGGCCATTTTGAACAAATTTCCTCAATACTACAAAAAACTTATTGATTTGTTTTTCAACACAGAAAACGGCTCACTTTATCATGCAGCAACAACACCCAACATTATAAAATATGCGAAAATATATATGGATAAACTAACTTTCGAAACGAAAAATCATTTATTTGATTACTTCCTCGAATGTTGCCGTCACTGTCTCTCCAACGATACAGCATTTTACCTTTCATTAGAAGTTTATGATATTAATCTTTACTCAGGTTTGATTGAACAAATGATTAAAGATAATGTTGACATTTTTTACAAGTTGTCACTTCCTGACATCGTTACTCTTATTAAATGCGACTTATGCACCAGTGTGATACTAAATAATATGCAACATATCTATACATTAAAAGAAAAAGAACCAGAATACGCCGCTCAGACATTTCTTTCGCTTTTAATATCATACCCAACAAATCAGATAGTTATACAGACCCTTAAACAAGCGTGTAGCAGTAATTCTCTTCTTTTGAATTATCTACCGACAAATATTGCACTTTTATCAGTAAATGAAAAGGAATTCACGAATTTACTTACTAATCATTCTAAAATTTCCAATACGCCTCTCAAAACTCAGTTTGCTTCTGAAGATAGTATTATCAAACTTTGTAAATCTCCAATTAATGTTATTCTTCATGATGACGTTATTGTTGAGCAAGTACAGCAGAGTCCTGTTCGATTTAGTCCATTTAGTCCTGCAAAAATTACAAATATTTTGGATCAGGCCAATGAGATACACCATGTCATAGAAAGTCAGTCACCATTTAACCAGATATCTAAAATAATCTCTGCTGCTTCACGCAAAGTTAAGATTGAAGCAAAAGAATTACCAGATAACCACAAATTTTCAAGTAGACTTAGAACGCAGAGCTCGATAGTTATGACACCTAAAGTACTACATGCATATGGTGTTAAAAAAGGTGGTATTGGCCACTCATCTTGGCAGAAAAGATATTTCGGATTTTATCAATCTGCCAAATGCGTTTTTTGGAGAGAGATGAAGACATCAAAGCATATTAGAGGTGTTATTGTTCTATCAAACAATGCAAAGATCATTCCAAACATCAGCCACAAAGGATTTTCCTATCATTTGCTGATAGAACTCGGGGAAGGAATTAAAACTTATGATATTGCGTTTGAGGATGAAAATGTTTGTAATCAATGGTGCCAAGCTTTGCAATCTGTTGTCACAGAGTTGTAATACCGAAATCCTTGCCCAATTAAAGGAGATTTGTATCTTAGGTCCATAAGAATAGAGTTGGGCAAATATGTATGTTATGTTGTCACAAGGTAAAGTGAAATGTTTCCGAAATTTTGTTAACATGTAAAAAAATATACTTAGTTAAATAATTTGTATAATAATTTTTCAGATAGATATTAATTACTACCACAAAATGTCCTATTTCAAAATTTATTGTGATTTTTATATTTTAAAGAAATATCTATTTTATAATACAAATGAAATTATAATATTTTTCATCTAATCTACCAATGACCTCTCTTAGATCATCAATGAAATAAAATCAAAAATATTTTTCATTGATTCCCAATAAATCAAGTTTAGCCAATAAGAATTGCCTTCACATTGCTATTTGGATTAATGTCAAATATACTATTCATTAATTTACAAAAATATTCCTCCGTAATTAAAAAAATTGTTAAGTATTCCTTCTATGTTAAGTTTGAACACAAAATGAGTTACATTTAGGAATATGACTGATATTTTGTTGTAAACAGAAATTCATCAAAAGTGACACCTCAGAAAAGCTAAAATATTGAATTTTTGGAACTTTTGATAGAGTACGTTTTTAAATATTAATTAAAGTAAATGTATATTGTGTAAAGATTCTTTTTAATAAAAAAAAATAAAATTTTGAAGAAGAACACAAAATCTTCTGAAAAATAATATCACATAAACTCATATTATTTTCTAATATATAACTATTTTATATAAAAATCAAATTCAATGATCTTAAAAGCGAAGGATAAACCTCAAAATTTACGAATATAATGAGTGGGAATATAATGCTTATCTATCATAAAACCATATGAAATATCAATTTTTGCTTTACGCCTAATTTTTGACGACAATTAGCAAAAAATGTTAAATGTTAACACTCAGTCCATTTGAATATGAAAAATAAAATTGACTTTGATTAAATGTTTTTATTTATCATGCAATTCTTCTTGCGACCAAAGATTTGAATAAAAGTTCAAAAAATAAGATAGCTTAAAAAATAATATACGGTAGTGTTTACTAATAGATGAATAGTATATAAATTCTATTAAAATGGATTTGATCCAAAAAAATATATAAAATTTGATCATAAATAAAATCGTTTTAAATTACTTCTTCATTTAAATTATAACAATTATTTTTGGTTTTATATTTTTTGGATCAAATCCATTTTAATGGAATTTATATACTATTCATCTATTAGTAAACACTACCGTATATTATTTTTTAAGCTATCTTATTTTTTGAAATTTTATTCAAATCTTTGGTCGCAAGAAGAATTGCATGATAAATAAAAACATTTAATCAAAGTCAATTTTATTTTTCATATTCAAATGGACTGAGTGTTAACATTTAACATTTTTTGCTAATTGTCGTCAAAAATTAGGCGTAAAGCAAAAATTGATATTTCATATGGTTTTATGATAGATAAGCATTATATTCCCACTCATTATATTCGTAAATTTTGAGGTTTATCCTTCGCTTTTAAGATCATTGAATTTGATTTTTATATAAAATAGTTATATATTAGAAAATAATATGAGTTTATGTGATATTATTTTTCAGAAGATTTCATTCTATATGCCTATGAAAAGTACTCTCAAAACTAACTTTTCCTAATTATAATTAAATCTAGAATATTGTATTATGCTTAGTATTATTTCATTTTTCTCATTCAATTTAGAATTTACAAATGTCAAAAAATTGAGAGCTGTCACTTTTGATGAATTTCTGTTTATTACAATTTCGATGTTTATTTTGCCAATTTGAAGTTGATATTTAGTAAAGTTTCTCTTAACTGAATTTTACATTTGGGGAAGACTTTTCTCCATATGGGATTCTTACTACTAAATATGTTTATCTCAATTTTCCGAAATTATTGACATCGTCATTCAAAAAATTAATTCTATACATTTCAATACAAACGCTTTTTTAAAAAGCGTTAGTATATATGTAAATAATTATTTTTCCCCGACATTTAAATTCAAAGAATTTATATATTATTATATTCTTATTATTATATTTTCTTTGATCTAAAAATTCCGTTGATCAATTTTATGTGAACATTCAATTCTTTCAAAAGTCCGAGTTAATTTTTAAAATTAAAAGATAAACATTCTGTGGAGTGATCTACATGCATAAAGCTCGAAAATATTGATAAGATATAATATTGGCAAGATATAATATTGATAAAATATTGATAGCATAAAATATTTGACAATGAATATTGAATGGGTTTGGAATTTTGAAACGTTTCAATATTCAAACCAATAATTATATCAGTTTTTAGACTCCAAAATAACAGATGGATGTGAGGACCAAATCGAGAACTTAGAGCAAGATCCAGAAAAAGAAAAAATTGAACGCATTGTGACAATAAATACTGCCATTGTTAGCTTTTTTATCCCAATAGCTGGTTTCATTTTTACATGCATGTACTGGAAGACAAATAGAAAAAGAAGTTATATTTGTCTTGGCTTGGCTTTGGTTCATCTTGTCATAGGTATAATTGTGATAATTTATGTTATAAAATATGTTCAAAAAATATTAAATTGTCACGGGGATTGTAACTATTGAAGCAAATTATATATCCAACTACAACATTATTTTTTACTAAACAAAGATTTTTTTTTTCATTTATTTTTAAAGAAAGGTATAGGCATCTTTTTAAACATTATTATTTATATCGTTTTGTTAGATTGATGCATATTATAAAAATAAAAACATTCTTATATCCAAGAAGGATAATGACATCCGCTGATTAATCTTGTTTCCATTTTATGTGAGACATAGTTTGCCTCTTGATCTTCTGATATACAGATTCATTTTCTATTGAAGATTTCTTCCAAAAGTTACTTCAAGAATTTCAGTTCTCAGTTCATGAATTTTTGGAAGCTCGTTGATATATCTATGTCTATTCCTTTTGTTTTTGCATCAAATCGCTTATAATGCCGTTCTTCTTGATGCCAGTTTTCTTATACCATTCTTTCACTGCAATTTGATCAGATGGAGTATGAGAAGACTGACATCCTCCTCCTAGGATATCAGAACTTCCAATTGGAGGTAAGTGTGAGGATGATTGGCGCAAATACATATTTTAGATGGAGGTAGAGAAGACCACAGCTCATCAACGGAAAATTCTAGCAGCATTACACTTGTGATGTTGTTTTTGATTTTCCTCTTGACTCTCCTACTCTCTCCTTATGAACAATCAGCTCGATGCAATGTAAAATAGGCGGTCATCCTCTTCCTTTAAATAGATATCTTGTAGGTTTCTCAGTTGGACAATTTTTTTGTTTACGGGTGTGTACGACTTGGTTATGGCACATGAACAAACACACATGAAGTTGTGGGGCTATCTAATAGATCTGCCACCTAGAACAATCCTGCAAGGATGTGCAGAACAATCCTATCTGTATTACTTCCAGAAATACTCCATCCTGGAGCATGTTGTAATAGGATATAACCGAGACCTAAGTTACTACAAAGGATTTCAGTAGTAAAAATATGAGCATCTTCTATTTGAATTAATTCAATAGTAAATAAATTTTAAAATCATTTCATTTATGGCTTGAAATAGACGATTCAAGTGTTTTCCATGTAGATATAGACAAATTAAATCGTTTCAAGACCAATTGATTCAATTTGAAACAATGACAATGATATTTTACAATGTTTGTATGAATAATTTTATTATACTCAAAGATTCATGCTTATATCAAATGAAAGCTTTATACGAAATAGTGATTTCGAATGATTTCACATTTACGACGATAAGAAAAAAGAATTTAGATGAACAGCTGGCAAAAACCCACTAGAGGAAGACATTTTGTACTCGTTGACACCGAGTGTACAAAGTCCGTAGACGATGTAACAAGAATGTTTCCTGTAAAAGCAGAATTTTCTCAGCATTTCTCTCGAACAGATCTAAGAATCAATGTTTTCTTCATTTCTTTTGCAGAAGTCAAGACAGTTAAGGAGCTTAACCTACTTTGGCCAAAATTTAATATCAATGTTGCTCCTGACAATGTTCCAAATAATATCGGAAATTATTTAGCCATTTCTAATCTTCCAAATGCTTTAAGAGATGACAAAATTGCCGAAGAGCTTGTATCTCTTTTCACTGATGAATTTACTGTTATAGAAGCCTTTCCATCCCTTGTTACAGTTAATATTCCTAATGTAAAGGACGCAATTAGGGTTTTCAGGTTCCTCAGTGTACTTAAGATTGGCAATGAAATCACAGCGATCTCTATGAGGAACGAAGATATTCCTCTTGTCAGAGTTACGAATCTTCCAAAGAATGTCAACGAAAAACTTCTTGTCGAATTATTCTCACGTGCTGGCAACATCACCCATGTTGATATTTTCAAGCAAGGAGGCTATCGCCGCTACTACGTCGCTGATGTTTCTTTTGAACGTGTCGAAAACGCCAGATATGCGATCAAAACCCTCAACTACACCATTGTCAATGAAAAAGAAATCAGAGTATCCCAATACATCTCACGAGAAACCGTCAGAGAGGTCGAATTGAATACATTAGTCATTTCAGGCCTTCCACAGTATTTCAGTTCACCAATGCTTAAAGTTCTTTTAGATTCATACGTTCCCGCATACCAATCTTACATGGACGAGATCGGCCCGCATCATATCAGATATGGCATCGTCAAATATACAACAGAAGACCAAGCCGACCATTGCATTGCTGTTCTCAATAACGCAGCAGTCGATGGTTGCCAAATCAAGATCAATCGCTCGAAGAGAGTCGCGATATGCAATTTCGCCATTGATACAAAGGACGAAGACGTTCTTGCGATGGCTCCAACATCATTCGACCTACTTAACTTGTCAGCGCGTGATAAACAGAAGCGTCCGACAATGTATTTGCAATTCCTGAATGAACAAGAGATGAATGAAGGCATTCAGAAGTTCAACAGCATCATATCCAATGGTGTAAGACTTTACGCATTCGAGTTGAAGAAGAAGAGAAATATTAACTCGATGAGGTCTCATTTCGTTGACGAACAGAACCAACACTGCACTGTTGCTATCCATAATATTAATCCAACAGCAACAAATGAAGAGGAATTTGTTAGATCTTGCTTAAGATACGGAAATATCGAGGGTTACCACTTCGCTCCACCTGTTTTGAGAGTTGTTTTCTCTAAACCGGAGGACACACAGAGATTTGTTAAGGAGAATAGACGCAGCTGGGTTGTAGGCGGAGATAAGTTATCCGTTGCACTCTCTGTTTAAATTTACATATTATTTAAAGAGATTTATTTATATAATATTTTTTTATATGTTTAAATGTGCACTTATCACATTCTCTCATAATATTATGTTTATAACATGCAAATGAGAGAATGTTTATATTTTTGTTTATTTGTTTAAGGGCGCACTAACCACTTTCAGACATAATATTATTTATTTGCTTAAAGGTGTACTTACCACTTTCAGATATTCCCTCATAATATCAAAACTTTCTTTTTAGAAGCATACTTTTTGATATAATTATAACAGACAAATGAGAGAATGTCTGAAAGTGGTATGTGCACCCTTAAATAGAGTAAAAAATCGAGATAACAATTGAGATATTTCTTCTTCAAATAGGATCCGTACTGTCTAATAAGTTGAAAATTTTGACATTCGAAATTTAGGTAAAATTATGACATTTAAGGAGAATTATAAGCATTCTTTGGATTTTGAAAATAACCTTATTCTGAAATTTCATAAAAATTATTGGTTGTTTGAATAAGTTGATTCTCAGTAAATATTTGGGTTTAAACTAGGAAACCCTAAGTAGATTAGTTGTTGACTCTTTACAAAAGTAAGTGTATGTTGAGATTATCCTTAGACAACTTTATTTAACTACTTTTTGAGATATTTCGTATAATCAAATTTTTTATGATTTCAAAAAGTGACAAATCTAAATATCGAAATGAAAAAAGAAAAAATGGGGCGAGCCGGGAATTGAACCCGGGACCTCCTGTACCCAAAACAGGAATCATACCACTAGACTACTCACCCAAACACACTAAATCAAAGTTTTACCGACAGTTCAAAGTATTCGACTCAAAAAGTGACCCACATCAAATCTTGAATGAAAAATTTTTAGATGATGGAAAGCAAAATCCATTGCATAGTATATCTTTGTTTCTAACAAACAGAATCAGTTGTTTTCTAAACGGTACCAACTGTTAGATCAACTGGCGCAAGAAATTTCCCTTTACAACCAGATTCCAAACCAAAATACTGAACTTGATAAACAATGCACTGATTTTACAGAGAATGTATCTAATAACTGCCAGAGGATGTTACAAATTGTATCCAGTATCAATGCTGAACTGAAAAAGATCCATCTTGATACAAAAAACGAGCAATCAGTCGAAATTTCGAAATTAACAAACCAGAACAAGAAGATGGAAGCTAAAATAGCATCATTACAATCCATATCGAGGTCATTACTCTCCAAGATCTCCAAATCCCGTAGAAAGACTGATGAAAAGATATTATCTTTAATCCAGAAAGTTACAACGAAGAATTTCAACTTAGAACAAGCATTCACACAGGATACAGTCTTAAGACCATTCACTACTATCTTAGATCACATTGAAACAGAGACCTCCTTCGAAAGTAGTAGTAGGATAGGACGGGGTGTGTGACTTTTTTTGTTACGTCTATATATAGATGAAGGTATATTTTAATGCATCTTCTATACATAGATGATATAAAATTTTTTCTTACGTTTTTTAAGTCATGAATTCGTAAGAAAGCGCGACATTATTAAATAAATTAGTAATAAATATTATATACTAAACACATTATTAAAAATTAACATTAATTTTAAAATACCCAGATTTGCTTTACTTTTACCACTCCCCATGTAATTTCTGGGGAAAACGATAATTCATTTTTTTTATGGATGAATAGATCGTTTTCCTAGAAAGGACCTCATATCTCTGGCTAAAAAGAGTGTCAGATCCTAAATAGATTATTGATCTAGTGTACAAATCCAATAAAAAGCCTATTTTTTTGGCTTTTTTGGTGCTCATTTTTTCGAAGATCTACATGAATATGGGGAAACCATCGGATTTTTTTTGTTAACCCACATCTTCATGTAGTCTGGACTATCTTTCCTCGAAGGACCTCTTTACGGGTGTAAAAACTCATAAAGTTCTCAAAAGATTCATTCTCGATCTCCATGCTGAAAGAATTTACAATAAAAAAGAGATCTATGCATCAAACTACAGCCATAAATGAACTGAACCCCTAAAGCTCAGCTCTTAGTTTATCAAAAACGTCGAAATCCTTCTCATTGCAATCAAATTTTCTCAATAACTCATAAGAAAAATCGAATTTTGATTAAGCCGATGTTATAGGTATCACAAATACTACAAACTTGAGCAATATCGAAATTGCCAGCAAAAGTTTGAAATTGCATTGCTCATATTTGTTTTGTAAACTAAAAATCTGCTTATATTATTCATTAATTTTTTATATATTATTCATATACTTTAATAAAAACAATACTATTTCACCTTAAAAATGAATTTCATAAGTCAATATTATTTTTTTGAAAATGTATCAATTTTCGATTAAAACAACATGAGAATAAAATTTACGCAAAATTATTTTAAAAAATGGTTTTAAAAATTTACAATTGATTAAGAATAAGATTGGAAGAAGTTTTGAAGTTTAATTTTAAGAAAAAAAATTCGGATATTATTCATGGATCTAAGTAATCTGATATTTGAGTATCGGCACTATGCATAAAACATATATTTATAGTTTTTTTGGATTTTTATGATTTTAAATATATTCAAATTTGGCAATCCAATAGATTTTTAAAAAATAGGTAAATAAAAATAGATTACATATGCAGCAGATTTAGAACATGAAACAAATCTTATAGTGACCCAAAAAAAAATTCATGATCCAAAAAAGAAAAAAATTGGCTAAATGGGAATCAAACCTTGGCATAACGAATCATTATGTCAGATGTTTCCACTACACTACACCGGCAGTTCGAAAAATACCCTTGGTGGTTCTATTTAATAGCTACTCCCAACGATAGGCGGTGTCCCCAGCTTTCGAGAGGTGGTAAAAGTAAAGCAAATCTGGGTAATTTATTTTTTTATCTTTTATAAAAGAAGCTATATATAGATGATGTCAGATATTCCGCGATTAATTAAACATTGTTTAAATCCTGAATGGGTTAAACTTCAATTTAAAAAGGAAGACTGTGAATTATTAAATGAATATGAAAGCCAAAATAAGCTAATGAGGTATAAATATAATGATAAAGAATATTTAATTTCATGGAATCAATGGAGTCATAATCAAAGACTTCATAAACGAGAAGAAGAAATTGAAAATAATGAAATGGAAATCATTGATGACATTAAAGAGGATGGAATTCCTAAATTTTGTAGAAAAACCTTTAGAACTAAGTTAGGAGCATATAAACGTAGAGTATTAAATCCTGAATATCTTAAACATCAATTTAAAAAGGAAGACTGTGAATTATTAAACGCTAATGAATATGAAAATGCTAAATCAAAACTGAGATATAATATATTGGAAGTGATAAAAGAGGTGTAAAGATAAAGATAAAGTTTATTCAGTTTCAATATAATAACTGGCACACGTTAGGGATAAGAAAACATTTAGGAGATTATGGAAATGTTCTGAATTCTTTAAATCTAGTATATACGAGAGAGTAAAAGAAATTAGAAATAATTATTTTCATGAATGAAAAATAAAAAATAAAAAATTTTTTAAAAAATAAACTTTAAAAAGAATTTGATGAGTTCAACATAGAACTTTAAGAAACTAATGATTATTTGAATTTATGAAATCAATTATTTGATTCATTCTTTCTTCAATCTCTTCTATTCTTTTGTTAAATCATCAATTTTCATTAATGAGGTGATTCTTGATTGAGGAATAGATTTCAAACTAACCACTCCTTTTATTTTTGAAATTTTGAATCCATCAACTTTAAACATTTTATTCAATTTACACGTTGTCAATTCTTCAAATAATTTTTTATTATTAAAAAAAAAAAAAAAAAAAGGTAGTGGGGCCTCCAGGCACTTCGTGCCCTCTAGCCCTGAAGATGTTTAGTATAAAATGAAGTTTTTTTGGGTACTGGGGGCTACCAGGGGCTGCGCCCCTTCTAGCCCATAAAAAATTTTTGAGAGTCGTCGTCGTTGACTTTTTTTGTAGAGCACTCAAAATAGTATAACCTTGTCCGGACAAGTAAGGGTCTATCGTCGCTCAGGAAAAGTTACGGGCGTTCCAAGGAATACTTTGAGAGACTCTTTAGAAACTTTAGACGTTTTACATAACCATCCATGCTTTTACTTTACATCCGATAAAAGTGGTTTGGAAACCTTATGAGATGGTTAGAGGACATACATGACTATGAGTTTGAATATGACAAGATAGAATATGAGAGAGGTCCTATAAACCGGAGAAAGTGTCATATAAACATCTGTCAAAAACCGTTTTTTAACTTCACTTAAAATGCCACGTAAGCTACGTAAGAATATACGTAAGAAGGAAGAGAGCATTTGAAACATCAATAGTAAAACTGACACCACAACAACAGTTGCAACAACAAATGCTGAATGACCCCACTATGTTGCAACAAATGTCAAGCAATCCTATGCTTTTAAACCGAGTTCTTGGTGCACAGAGTGGAGGTTTAAGAGCGGCACTTTTAGCGAAAATGGCAGGCTATGGTGGAGCTGCAGACGGAACAGCCTATAACCTCAAAGTCAAATGAATTTGAGTTCACTCAAAAATCAAATATCAGATGTCAAAAAGTCAAACATAGACATACAGAAGCAAATAAGTGAAAACGAAAGAAACTAGAATATGACAGACACACAAAGAAACTCAATGAGTTAAACGTAGAGAAAAAGAAGAAAGAAGAACAACTGAAAGAACTAAGTACAGAGGGAATATGCGAAAAAAGTGTCAGAAAAAGCAGCAGAAGTAGCAAAAATGGAACAAGATGTTATAAATTTGAAAACCATACTACTCAATATAAAGTACTGAAAGATGAAGAGATAAAACAAAAAGCCCTGAAGACATATATGGATAGCGATGAGTATAAAAAAGAAGTTGAAGCAAATGTAAAGGCAGAAAAACTTTTACAGTTGCAAAACCAAACCGTACAGTATGAAAACTTAGCACAAGAAAGTAAAAATAACGACGCAGCCATGCAAAAGGCAATGAAAAGCGCAGAATATATAAAAGCTAACAATGACTGGTTAGATGCCCAAGCCAACGCTAAAGCAGCCCAACTTATAGGGTCAATAAGGACAAAAATACAAGCGGATGAAGACAGTTCAAATGAAGCTTTAACAAATGCTGACTTTAAGAACGCCTTCGAAGCTCTTCATAGTAAGGTGAAACAAGTGAACGACTTCTCATCTGGAAAGAAACTGAAGTCTGAAGGTTTCGACAAAGAGTTAAAAGAAGTAGCACAAAATATGACGAAAATAACAGATGCAGCAACGAGACAGGCAGTTCAAAGTGCCTATGACGCCGTTAGAGCAACTGTTGTGGAAAGTCAAGAAAAAGAGTTACAACAGACCAAAACAGACCTAGTAAATGCTTTCTTAAAAACGAAAAGTCAGGTAGGACACTATGCTGCAGATGGAACATATGTGCCAGCTGGTGGAACTTATATACTAGCTAGTGGAACCTATATACCACCAAACCCTCCAAGAGAAGCACCTGCACCAGGACTACCTAAAACATTTACATCGTCACATGGACACAGACACAGGCATGCACCAAAACCAACACAACAACAACAACCAGCACAACAACAAACAACCAACACAACAACCAGCACCACAACAACAACCAGCACAACAACCACCTCCACAACCAGCACAGCAACCAACAGTTCAAAACCCTGCACAACAACAACCACAAACAGAGCAAGGACATAAAAGAAGTAGAGAACAAGGAAACCAAGATTTCTTAAAAATGCTTAAAGAAGACTATGGTTACCCAGATACTCTTGACTTTAGTGACAGATATAAAGAAGCTATTAGAAAGTTCAAGGAAGGAAATACTGACCCGAACCTATTTAGCTTTATGGCTCAGCACCAAATGGGATATAATTTCAAACCTGGAAAATACAAGCTCGCTAAGGGATATGATTTAATAGCATATCATCCAAATGACATGACTGAATTTACTCCGAGATATTTGGTGTCAGAGCTAAATGACAATTCAACTCTCTTCATGAAACGCGTAAAAAATAGAGACGGAACGAAAGAAGAAAGGTTTATGAGTCCGGATGACTTAGATAGGGAACTTGTTAAAAACGGTCTCGGAATATATGAAATGCCAGCAGATGAGGTACAAGAAACTCCACAGGAAGAAGTTCAGATACAACCAGACATGGAAGAAATAGTTCAGCAACAACAGCTAGAAGAGCCTGAAGGAAACGAACAAGTCCCTCCTTTGGAAACTAACTTCACAGAACTAGATGAAGATTTGGAACAGCCGAAAAATCTTGACCCTCAACAAGAGTATGCGGAGAATATGGAATCTTTCCAAGAGTCTAAGAAAAAATTCGGCTGACATGGTAGAAGAATATCGAAAAATGTTTGCCGACATACAAAAGACTCCAACACCAGATGAAAATATTCAGCATAGAATGGAAGTACTGAAAGAAAATGTACGCAAATACAACAACCCTTTTTACTTACGACCATATAACGTTCAATCTTTGGCTGAACTCGGTGAAAATAAAAGGTTAAATTTCAACAAAACATATAGAAATGAAACATTGTTTAAAGTTCATTCAGAACCTAACCAATATGGAAACAAACCTACTTTTGTTTCTGCAGACTATGGAACTACAATGAGATGGGGTCATAAAGCTAACCCGGATAGGTGGTTCATAAACTTACAACCACAATTCCAAGAAGTTGTAGACGCAATGGAAGTGAATGGTGAACCAGATTTAGCTGGTATTTTCAGCGCGGCTTTAATGCCATTGAAAGATATGAAAGATGCAGATATTTTGGACCAGTATGAAATGAACATGGCTGATGGAAATATAACACCTGACGTTCTAGAACATTTATCTCAAAGAACTACACAGAACCATAAAGATGGTATATTTGGTGAAGAGTTTAGAAAGAAAGTTAGGGAGACAGAAGGAAGAGAACCTATTGTACATGACCTTGCAAACGAAAGTTTACAAAATGTCATAAAAACTTACTTTGCAGACAATGAACCGAGAAGGGATGAATATTTAAGAAAACTCAAATGGACAGTACCAAATGAAATGTTAGTATTGAAAAACATGTTCCTTGACAAAATAAAACCAACTACAGAAATAAATGACCAAGACTGAAACATTGGGTAAAAGCTTTCCCATTCACAAAAGATATAATTGGTAACATGGAAAGAAAACCAGAATGGCTACAAAAACATATATTTGGAAACGAGCTTATTCCATATGGACAAGCTCTGTTTGAAGAGCTTGAACCGGAAACTCAGGAAAGAGTCATGCAAACAATACGCGAAGACTCAAATACAAACTATGACAAAATCTTTCTAGGATATAGGTTACCTGAGATGGGCGACCAGAGCCCAAAGGCAAAAAGGACATGGGAAATTTACAACATACTAGGTGAACATGAGGCAAAGATGCAACAACTTGAAGCAGAGGGCAAGTTACCAAAAGCGACACCAAAGAAGAAGAGAAGAGTAGAACAAAGTGAAAGTAGTGAAGAAGTAACTTCATCTAGTGAAAGTAGTGGCAATGAAGGAAAAAGAAGAGTTAAAAACTCAGCAGGAAGAAAGTAAAGCTTGGTCCACGTGGGTTCTATTATGACACATAAATCCAACTATTCTATATTTTTACCCATATGAAATGTACGCCGCTCAGAATATAACGCCAACAGTTTTGGATGCCATGAACGGAAACGTTTCCGAATGGTATAACGAATGCGACAATGCCATTAGAAGGTCAGAAATAGTTCCTGGAACTTACGAATATACAACTGCTGTTTCTTATGGAAATGTAGGTGAGTTTGGAGAAGGTTCTTCAACAACAGTAGATATTGCTTGCGACAGTTTCATATTATTTCTATTGACAACTCATTCTTATACGTGGAACAAGACATTGAAATAAAACCTTCTGCCAAGTTGTCTGACAAGAAAGGTTGCAATGGAATTTTCTATGTCGGATACCAATATGCTCCAGAAGTTTTCATGGGATATAAGATATATTCTAACTCTGACTTAGTTCAAACAGTAACCTGGGCAAACTATGAATGGTTCGCTTTGAGAAACTCAGTACAACCACAAGCTAGAGAACAAACAGACCAGTATGCAACTATTGAGAAAATAAGAAGACTTGACCCTAACGTTCCAGGAGTTTATGTTAACCTTTCTGGTTCAGATGGAAATGCTGTCACTAAAGTAAAACTGAAACTTAGAGTTCCTTTGTCATCTTTCCTCATCTTCAGGTTTTTAAGATACTTGCCAAACTGGGCAGGAAAAATTTCTATCGAACTTACTCCAAGCAAAAATAACTTAGTCATTGCACCAACACAAGACCCATTCACTATTACAGACGTAGAGGGAACAAATAAAACGTCATTCGCGAATTTTGCAAAGACAAAGTTGACTTAGACTTTGGTTTCTCAAACCTCAACACTGAAGTAAACTATTATTTCAATGCTGCTGGAACTGCTTGGGACCTAGTTAAGTTCACATGCGAAAATTTGAATACAAGAGAATAGAAAGCAGACTTGCAGTCTATATGTTGGACCCAGATATTTCAAATGCTTTAGCTGCCAAATATATTGCAGTTCCACTTATGTTCCCTATACACCAAATATCTGTCAAAGACTTTGCAGGTGAAGTTGGAAACCAAAGTGCTGACCCAGGTGCAAGAACAGATATTGCCTTAACAACTGCAATGAAACATGCAGATACTATGTTTGTACTGTTCAGACGAACTATAAATGACTATTCTTGTTTCTACAACCCTGGTATTAAATATCATATAAACATAGATGGCAAATATTATCCAAGAGAAGAATATTCTACAGTTGAGGATATGAGGTCATACAACTTGACATTAGATGCTATGAACTTTAACAACAACTTCACAACAACCATTAACCCTGAAATGCAAAGTTCTATTATGCCATATGTGAAAGTATGGACTCATACAGGAGGTCAAAAAACTCAATATACAAATGGAGACCGTTCAAACTTTTGGCTTGGCATTCCATTTGCTGACTCAGAAGACTTTATGGGTGGTATTTCAACTGTTGGTACTGTACAAATACAATATACTGGTGACAGAGACGGTCCAGATGAACTGAAAGCAAAGAAGTTTACAAAACCAATAGCACTTTTCACGGAAGATGCTCTTTTGAAGATTCGTTCGATGAAACCTGCTGGGGCTCCTCAGATTGGTATAACGACAGCTTCCATCGAGCAGATTTTGGCAGCAGGTCAGTAAGTTGTTCTTGAACTGACTTCTCTCCGTCAAATATTGACAGTACGCCAGTTTTGACATAATATTGTATTATAAACTTTCCTTTAGAAATATCGGTCAGTTTTGTTGTTATATTTTTGTCTGCTTCAAGAACTTTCACCATTTCGGTTATACCAACTTTCTTTGCTTTATGAAAATATTTTGGTTCAGCAAAGACTGCTATTCTATAACATTTTCCATTGTTTGTATAAAGAACTATTCTGTCAATGTATTTGTATTGTTTGTGTGTGTAAACTTTGTTCTGCTTCAATTCGAAGAGATACTCAAATACGTCCATCTTTTTATTCTAAGTAAAATGTCATTTCCGAAAAATAGAAGCGTAAGTGTTTCAAAAGGTTTAATGGCGGTGGCAGATGTGAAGTTAAATTCACCAACTCAAACAAACAGTCAAAGTGTTATTGTCAATGTCAAAGACAGAGATGTTGAAGTGGGGAAACCATACGAAGACGAAGATGGTATAACAATAGTTCCTGTAAAAGAACAACCAACATATCCTGAAGTTAGCAGAGACTTAAGTTCTGTTGCAGATATTCGAAACGACTACCAACAACTGAAAGACAAACTTCAAACTCAGGAGAAGATTTGTCAAGCTTTAGGTATAATGTTAAACTTGGTCGAACACAACCCTGTAAAAGTGAACTCATATGTCATTGCACCTCATGAAGTTTTGAAAGAACTATTGAAACTTTTGACAGAGGCAGACGATATAAACATCAAAGAAATAGAACCCGACGTTAGTTGCTGTGGTGTTTCATATAATGTCATTGACAAGATATACGTTATGAAAGGAGGTGAAACGTTGAACTTAAAGTATAGTTTCCCAGACGTTATAAAAATATTTGACGACCACAACATTTCATTAAAGTTTATTTGCTAAGTAAAAATGTCAAAACTTCTTGAAAGATGTTTGAAGAAAAATAATATAGACTTTATTTCATGTAAAGGACTTTACACACTTTTGAACGATATGAAAGACCCTGTTTTGTTTGTTCGTGTAGACAAAGGAAAGTTCTATGTCTTTACAAAATATTTGAACTTCTTAGACAGAGAACTTCAAGAAACGCCATGTGAAAGTTTAGATGAAGTTCTTCTCCACTTTCAGAAAAACTTTTAAATATATGTAAATGGCAGAAGACACAATGGTTTATACTATTACGACTAAAAACCCTGAGTCATATAATTCTATAACAACAAACTTACAAAGTCCTCAAGGACGATATTGTAAACTAACCTTAAACACAATGACGACTAAAGCTTGTTTTGCTCTTTTGACACCAGAAGATTTTATTGTTGTGAATGGTAAAAAATACTCCTTTGAAGATACTTACTCAGATATACCACCAACAGGTTTTGTTGACTTATTTAATACTTTAAGTACGGGTGTAAAATGTGCTGCAACTAGAGCAGGTTTCATTATGTTTGGATGTCCGACTGAGTTTACTATAAACAATATGAGCTATAATACAAAACTTATATCTGGTTTTTACTACCAACAGTTTCCTATAACAGGAAAAGGTGTCATACAAGGAATGTCTGTTCCATTGACTTTAAGTACACCTATTTTATATATTGTTTCAAACTTAGGTTCAAAGTGTTATTCGAATGTCGACAGAAACTACTATGACCAAAAGATACTTATGCGTATAAACAACACATTCTCTGCTGGTTTGCCTATTGTTCATTCGAATGCAGAGTTTTCAGCTTTAGTAAACTCAAACACTTTAGCAAACATAAACTTAACCTTAGTTGACGCAAACTTTGTTCCTGTAAAACTTTTATGTCCTATGTATTTGTCAATGACGGCAGAAAGTTTCGAATTGGAAGATGCAACTGGTGAAAGTATTGTATTACAAGAACAACTTCAACAACAAATAGCTCAAGAACAACAAATGCAACAAATAGCTCAAGAACAACAAATAGCTCAAGAATAAAAAAAATATTTTTTTTATTTTTATAAAAATGTACAGAATAGATGTTTCAGATTTTTATGACTTCCAAACATTCAGAAATATGTGTCCATTTCGAGACTATAACAAAGCAGTCGAGAATTTGAAACGTTTAGTCATTTATGTCGACTCTGCCCCAGAATGTTATGTTATGAAAGAATGGGATGTAGTCTTTAACAAACCAAGAGCGACAATAGTGTCAGAACAAGAATGTAAACAGAAACTTAAGAAAATAAAAGTCGTACAAGTTGGCATGAAGATGTTAGATGCTTGGGATATCTTATTGTCAAAGTTAGAAGATTTTTCAGTTCGTGGTATAAAGTTTTATACACCTTCTCCAAACTTCTATTCTATCTTCACTGGATATAAATACGAACAAGTAGAATGGAAAGAAAATGTTATAGAAGCTTGGTTAGACCATGTCAAAGAAATTATATGCAATGGAAACGAAAGAGTCTATGAGTATATCTTATGTTGGTTTGCAAACATCTTACAACATCCAAGTGCTAAAAATGAAACCTCTCATTATAATTGGAAAACAAGGAACTGGTAAGAACACTTTCTTTACAGATATCTTATGCAAACTGTTAGAGGGCTATTCGAACCCGAATATGACAAACTTAGAAAACATCTGCGGTAAATTTAACTCTTCAATAGAGAATATGAAACTTATAGTATGTAACGAACTTCAAAGTATAGATACAACAAAAGTTTTGAACTCAGATGCTTTGAAGAGTCTTATAACAGACAAAGTTGGAGTTGTTGAAAGAAAATATAAAGACCAAAGAGTTTGTGAAAATGTTGCAAATTTCATTATGGTTTCAAACAATGCTGTTCCGATGAAGTTAGAAAGTTCTGACAGAAGATATGTAGTTGTCAGAACGTCAGATTCTCATATGCAAGATACAGAATATTTTGACGCTTTGTCAGAAACTTTGACATCTGACTTTTACAACCACTTGTTCTCATATTTTATGACATTAGATATTTCAAAGTTCAATCCAAGACAAATTCCACATACCGAAGAGAGACAAACATTGTTAGAAGCAAACAAGAGTGTATATGAACTGTTCATAGATGAAACTGACTTTGAGTGTTTAGATGAAAGGTCATTGTACGATTCGTATAAACAGTATTGTCAAGAATATGGTTATATGACAGCGTCTAAACGAACATTCTTGGCAAATGTCAAAAGTCTTTTAGACGTACAGAATGGTGTATATACAAAGAAAAATTTTTCTGAGTAAATTTAAAAAAAAATATTTTTTTATCCGATAGAAAAGATGACGAAATTCATCTCAGTAAACAAGTACATGTCAGGACTTAAAGAAGAACTAGACCCATTCACATATTTGAATGTTTACTTCTACCATTTTGAAAAGTCTTCATTCAGCAAAGTTTGGAACATCGAACCAGTTAAGTTTGCTATTGTGACTAAAAATGGTGCGAAATTTGAAGACTTAGACATAGAAGGTTTGTTAACAGTCAAAGAAAGTTTTGACAGAAGGTTCTCAAACCTTAAAGAAGGCAAAGCATACAAACTTGTTATACCTTATGAACCAAAGAAAGCAGACGACTATGAATATTATGAGTCTAAAGTTGTAGAAGTTCAAGGTAAATTGGGTAAAAAGATTTTAGAGTCTAAGCCAGTGTTTACTCCTAAAGAGGAAGAGAACATTGACATTGACCCAGAAATGTTCTAAAAATAAAATTTTATTTTTACATGTCAAATTTCTTCTTCTCTGGCTCTGGTTCTTTCTTCTCTTCTTCTACTTTCTTTTCTTTCTTTTCTCTCTTCTTCTTTTCTGGTGGAGTTATGTCAAACTTCTCAGAACCATATTTTTGTAAAAGTTCTTTGTCCTTTAATAGCTCTTCTATTCTGTTTTCTATTTCATCTTCAAGAACAGTGCATGTGTCTTCTTTGCATTCTAAGAAGTTTTGTTGGACTTCATCTCTCCAAGAGGCGTCATCTCTGTCAACAAGTCTGTCATTGACAAATTTTAAGACTTCTCTGCTTAATGTTTTATGGTTCTTGTCATATTCCCAGAAACAGAACTTTAGAACAAATTCACCTTTCTTGTTTACACTATGTAAGATTTTATGGTCGACAGATGTTTTGCTGTCGAAAAGCTTGTCTCGAATATAGATAGCGAAATCGCTAGACATTTTCTAAAAGATAAAAATTTTAATTTTTCTAAAAATATGTTAGAAAAAAAGTTTGCTGACATTGACAAGAAATTTGAGAATGTTTTAAACAAGAACAAGAGGAAGTTAGAAAATGCTCAGATAAAGCCTATACATGACAAGTTCTTATTTGCTCAGAATGGTATAACAGGTCTAATTGCACCACCTGGGTCGGGTAAGACTTTCACTTATCTTAAAATGGCTGCACAACAACAAGAACTAGATGAGAAGAACCCATTCTATGAGTTAGTTGTCATTTGTAGTACTTCGGGTCAATTTGACCAAACCGTAATTCGTTCAAAGATATTATAAAGAAGTCTAAGTTAGTATGTATAAAAGACTCTGAGTTGTTAGATTGGATAAAGAAGTACCAAAGAAGAGTTTTGAAGTACAATGCTATAAATGAGTATGTCAATTCGAAGTTTAAAGACCCAAATGAGGAAATGCAGAGAATATTAGAGAAGAAACACTTCAGAAACAAACAGAAAGAGATAGAATACATTTCGAAGAAATTGCAATCTTACGATTGGAAGACTTACCCTCACAGATGTCTTCTTATCTTAGATGACTTTGCTTCTCATCCTTTGTTAAAGAATAGAGAACAAGACATGTGTCGAATTCTTAAGAAGCTCAGACACTTCAACATCTCTGTTGTCATTTGTGTACAGACAGCAAAGAGTTTAAGTAAGGATGTAAAGAGAATACTTACTGACATTGTACTTTTCCCCGGATTGTCCGAAGACGATTTCATGGAACTTATGAAAGAGTCCATGGCAGGTAAGTTTGACAGACATGAACTATGGGAGAAGTACAAAGTCATACAAGACCCTCATACTTCTTTCAGAATTCATATCTACGCAAACAAAGTTCAAATTGTAAAAAGTCAAGCGTAAAAAATGTAAGTGTTTGGTCTTAGTCTGTTGTGGTTCTGCAGCTTTCGGTTCTTCTGGCTTTGGAATGGACTCGGTTGGTGGTACGTCGGACATTCGTTTGTGTCCTGTCGGAAGGAAGAGTTCTTCCAGTTGTCGGGAAATTTTTTTCCTGTCGGAAGGAAAAATTTTTTCTGTCGGAAGGAAAAACTTTTTCTGAAGTTCGACCAAAAAGTTCTCAATTTTCGAAAATTTGAATGGTTTACGGACGGACAACTGGAAAAATTTTTCCTGTTGGAAGGAAAATTTTTTCCTGTTGGAAGGAAATTTTTTTCCTGTCGGAAGGAAGGACTTTTCCTGTCGGAAGGAAGGACTCGGAATGCCAGAAGGATTTGACAAGGCAATTTACCTTATAGAGCTACCTGAGCCATCTGAAGTCAAGCTTGAAAAATAAATGGTTCATCTACTCTACTTGTTTGAAGTTGTCAAAATACTCTGTTATTTTTTCCTTTAACAATGGCAAATCTTCTTTGAAGGTAAGAATTGTACAACCTTTAATATCATAGTGTGTTTGAGGTAAAGTATCTTGAACTATTTGTTTCACATCTTCATTTGGTGTCATTGAAATCGGTAAGTTTTCGCGATAGAACCAATTTCTGTCAGATTTGTAAATCTTAGCAAGGTCGTAAAAGCTTTTGTTGTTTCTTCTGACTAAATGCAACATAACCATATCTCTGTCTTCTTCATTTTCCATCTCTTCAGTATAAATCATATACTTATAGTTCTTTTCCTTTCCTTTTGGTACCGAACGTGGTATTCTTTTCTGAAGGCTTTTGTCTTTTGCATGAAGTTTCTTTTCCATCTCTTCACGTTCTTGTCTATGAATTTCGTCAAGAAGTCTGTAAATATACCAAGCATAACGAGGCGAAGCCCACGTTGCAACAGCATTTACAAGAAGTCTATGTACATAATATCCTCTCAAACCGTTTGGCAATTTTTCACGATTTTCATAGAGTTTTGGCGACTGGGGTTTTTTACTTACTCGCTGTTCTTCACGATTTTCATGAGTTTTTGCGACTACGAGAAAATCCGTAGTCGAATTTTCAGCTTCATTTAATAGTTCAATAGTGCTTTGGTTCCTAAACCAGTCTTGTGGTTTCTTGGTATCTGGAGCAAAACATGCTGTCAAAATACTTTGCACTTGGTACATATCGTCTTTGACCGAACGAATGAGACGTAACTGTTTGTTATACTGTATGTACTCATATTCTTCATTTATGGCTTCATGAACGATAGCAGTTGTTGTGTTCTCTGTTGTTGACATATCTGTCTTTACATACAAAATAAAAAAAATATTTTATAAAAAACTAGCGTTATTTCCTGACTTTCACAAAAGACCAAAAATAAACGCTTTACATGTATTTTTCAGCAACTTCGTCAAATAATTTTATAGCTTTACCTATCTCATCTACTTCAAACGTTTCTTTACCTTTCGTGGGAGCACCATACATTTTCTCAAAAACTTCAAGCAGTTCTGTTTCAGCAGCTCTCATATCGTTAACAAACACAACCTTGACTCTATTGACTGTACTGTCATATCTTTGAGTTATATTATATGTTCTTCCTATCTTATATCTCTTTGTATTGAAGTCCTTCGGTTTCTGAACGATGTAAAGTAAGCCCTCACTGCAACGTTCAGTATCGAATGAACCATATGTTATGAAGTTATATCCAACAACTGGGTCTAACCATAACAAAACTATTGGTATAAGACTTTTGTCAATGAGATATGCTGCAGTTCCATAGAATCTTACCGATATCATAAGCTCAGGATTTCTTGTCAAAATTTTCTGAGTAGAAGCATTTTTAACCCAGTCCTTTGCTTTCTTTCCAGATGGAGATAAAATGTCTGACAAAGAATATTTGTTGTAT